TCCTTTTGCCTCCCCCTCCTCCTCCTATTTCTTCCTCTGGCCTCCTGTCACCTCCTCTTCCTCCTTTTGCCTCCCGAGGCCTTCTGTTTCCATCCTCCTCTCTCCACCTCTCACCTCCTCGAGCCTCCTGTTTCCTTTGCCTCCTTTAGCCTCCTTTCACCTCCTCCTCCTCCTGTTGCTTTTTGATGCCTCCTGTGCTTCCTTCTCATCTGCCTCGTCTTGTTGCTTCCTGCAGGCTCTTTTTGCCTCCTCTTCCTCCTCCTCCTTTTGTCTTCTTTTGGTACCCACTGTATCCTTCTCCTCCTGTTGCTTCCTGTTGCCTCCACAACCTCCTGTTTCCTCCTGTCTCCTCCTCCTCCTCCTTTTTTTTCCCCACTTTTAGTCCCTTTTTCCCCCTTTTATTCCCTTTTTTCCCTTTCCCCCTTTCATTCCCCTTTTCCCCCATTTTTCCCCACTTTTAGTCTCTTTTTCCCCCTTTTATCCCCTTTTTCCTCTTTTATTCCCCACTTTTAGTCCCTTTCCCCATTTTATTCCCCCTTTTCCCCCATTTTTCCCCACTTTTAGTCCCTTTTCCCCCTTTTATTCCCTTTTTTTCCCTTTCCCCCTTTTATTCCCCTTTTCCCCCATTTTTCCCCACTTTTAGTCCCTTTTTCCCCGCTTTTATTCCCTTTTTTCCTTTTCCCCCTTTTATTCCCCTTTTTCCTCTTTTATTCCCCACTTTTAGTCCCTTTCCCCATTTTATTCCCCCTTTTCCCCCATTTTTCCCCACTTTTAGTCCCTTTTCCCCCTTTTATTCCCTTTTTTTCCCTTTCCCCCTTTTATTCCCCTTTTCCCCCATTTTTCCCCACTTTTAGTCCCTTTTTCCCCGCTTTTATTCCCTTTTTTCCCTTTCCCCCTTTTATTCCCCTTTTCCCCCATTTTTCCCCACTTTTAGTCTCTTTTTTCCCCCCTTTTATTCCCCTTTTTCCTCTTTTATTCCCCACTTTTAGTCTTTTTCCCCCTTTCATTCCCTTTTTTTCCCTTTCCCCCTTTTATTCCCATTTTTCCCCACTTTTAGTCTCTTTATTCCCCCTTTTATCCCCCTTTTTCCTCTTTTATTCCCCACTTTTAGTCCCTTTTCCTCCTTTTATTCCCCTTTTTCCACCTTTCCCCCCCACTTTTATTCCCTTTTACACCTTTTAGTCCCCTTTTCTCTCTTTATTCCCCTTTTCCCCCACTTTATTCACCTTTTATTCCCCTTTTTCCCCCTTTTATTCCCCTTTCCCCCCTTATTCCCTTTTTTCCCCTTTTATTCCCCTTTTTCCTCCCACTTTTATTCCCTTTTCCCCCCTTATTCCCCCTACCCTAATAGCACCCCTCTTATTCCCCTTTTCCCCCCTCTTATTCCCCTTTTTTCCCTTTTTATTCCCCCTTTTTCCCCGTTTATTCCCCTTTTTCCTCCCACTTTTATCCCTTCCCCCCTTATTCCCCTTTTTTCCCTTCCCCCCTTTTATGCCATTTCCCCCTTTTATTCCCATTTATTCCCTTCCCCGTCTTTTATTCCCCTTTTCCCCCCTTTTATTCCCCCTTTTTTCCCTTGATTCCCCCTTTTGCCCCCATTTCCCCACCTCTTCCCCCCCTTTTCTCTCCCT